AAATATTTTAATCACATGGAAAGCAAGATTAATAATAACAACAATGAAAAGTATAAATTACTGATAAATGTAGGTGGGCGCCAACACAAAATTAATGAGGGGAAAAAGACACTTTTTATATGACATTGTTTTTCAAAATTATTTCTCAAAGTTGAACCATTTACTGTCTTTGTGACTTTTGGCACATGCTATATTATTATTATTATTATGAAGCAGGGTTAATTGTCTTTCAAAGTTGTTTACCTTTACGTTACTTTTGTTGGTGGTGGTTGCTGTATAAATTGTGCTCTTTTCTGTCAATTTTCTGAGACTATAAGTAACAGACAAGTTGCAAATCTGCATCAGTGCATGGAACTTCCAATCTTGGAGTTTTCCACATTGATGAAATCACATGACAGAATTCTCCTTCAAAAGAATATTATTTTATTTCCAAAAGTGTAATGAAATTGATATGGAATTTGGAAAGACCTCAGTTTTACTTTCTGTTATTCTATAGTTGATCTAAGTACCTTATAGGCAAAGGCAAGGCCTTAATATTTTTCTTTTGGCATCTCTCACATATACCTGATTGATACCTTAGCATATTCTTTATTAAATGGCAACAACAAAGATAGGGAGCTGAGAGGCAATAGCCACTGTTGTAGATATTTCTAAAATACTTTTCTAAGTTTTACTCAAGGGCAACTATACTATGATCTTTTGTACCTATTTTTATACAAACTGCTGTCTCTGGATTAGGTTCCTGGAGGTATTCAGCCCTTGGGAAAAAGCCAGTCTCTCTGGATCTATCTGCTTGCATGGTCAATGCACTCATGAAGCATATGTGAAAACTTTCATGCTCATTGTATCTTTCCTTAAAGATGACCATTTGATGACATTGTCAGTGAGCCTAACAGATTAGTAAGCAGAACTCATGAGGAACTCTGACCCACTGGCTTGAAAGAGAAGCAAATACAATATCTGGTCTGATAAAATGATATTCACAGACCACTTCCAGCACAGAACACCATAATTTGGATTATTTCCACATCCCCTTTGGCTGGAAATCAGGGATGGAAAAAAATAATTTGTTTGTTGTCTTCATTACTTGTTTTTGTAGCATGTTAATTAATTGTTCTTCAGTAGAGAAAGTATTTTTTTTAATAGTTCAGAATGATTTAGCTAAGTCATTGGGTTTAGAAATGTTCCAATTCAGAATTATCTCTTACATGTAACATACTACCTCAATGCCACTTGTATAAGGATTGCTAACATAGACAGGAAATGAATAGGAGGGGTTGGTGAGAAAAACAAGGTAATAAAAAAAAAGGAATTTGTTCCTTGGCACTACCATATCTAGCTACTCTTATTTAAATGCAAAATGGACCAGGAGAATAATTTTCAGTAATTGAGTATTGCTGTTTTTCACAATTTGTGCATGGTTATTATGTTTCTAGTGGCTTCCAGTGTCCAGACTTTCATCAGCTTTATACAGTTATCACCATCCTGGGGCTGGTCTGAAGACATTGCTCCAGAATCTGGCTTGTTCTCAGAAATGACATTTAGCTAGTATTCTGACCAGGGACCTTTAACAGTACTTACTTTATACCCTTTGAAACAACAGAGACTGTAAAGGGTTTATTGGATAGATATAGATCCTGATGTTTAGGAAAAAGTCAAGCAGCCATTAGTTCTAGAATGACATAAGAGGCAATATTCACTTGAATATCACTAAATCTTAAAGAAGTATATTTTAAGGAACCTAGAATTGATTATTTCTGCTTTTAGAAATGTCTTTAAAGTGAACCATGTCAATTTGAATTTTTAATTTGTTTATAAGCAAGAAGTAAGCCTATTTAAAAATCATAGCTCATACATTAAGATGGTATGGTTCAGTGGAAAAAGTATTACCTCTAAAATCAGAGGATCTGGGTTCAGACTCTGTATTTGACACTTTTACCTCTGTGACCTTGGACAATGTACATAAATTCCTCAATTATTTCATCTGTAAAATCAGAGGGTTGAATTAAATATCCTCTGAGATTTCTTTTAATTCTAGATTTAAGATCTTTTGATTTTACTGTATGCCTAGATTTTATACATGCATATATATGGACACATAGGTATACATGTATGTGAAATATATATGCATACATATAAAATAATATATATACATTCACAATATATGTATTCATACATTCTCATTTTTCATAATGTTGCACAGGAATTTTCAATGTATTTTTATAAAATCTCCTAAGGTAGAGAAGAAAAATTTAAGGTAATGTATGAATTTAACAAATAATATTTTGGAGTAAATTTTCTTCATCTAAACTTTTATTATATAAGCATTTAAGGATCCTATTGAGAAGAAGGAAAAAATCACATCTCTCATTCTTGGTCCAAGTTTTCAGATAAATATGTACATTCTTGTGAAGCATATATTGCCCGTAATCAAGCATGTGGCTAAAAAAAATACTGATATCTAAAATTTACCTCCCTAGTATTCTGTATTGGATGCTTCAGATCTGAAATCATGGTCAACATTGTGTGTGTGTGTGTTTTTTAAATCCCTATTGCACTGTTTCTTTCATCAAATTATATTTAGCAAATTGTGTTTTGGTGTAAAAAGCAACAGGAGAATGAGACAAGTAGTAGACAATTTACCCTCTTCTACTGCCATATATTTCTACTGCTTGGTTTACACTAGAGAATTTGCTATGGGCTTCTTGCTTTGAACAAATTCACAGTGGTCTTGAACTTAAGAATAAATATAACTAATACTAATACTAAGTATGATTAATATACTAATATTAAGTATGACTTACAAGAATAGGAAGTCCATCACATTTTCCAGAATAGCAAACAAGCAATACTTTTTTCCCTAAAAGTACCATTTAATTTCATACAAGCTCAAGTGGTCAGGCAATTTTTTGCAACTTTTTATGCTTACTTCTTCTTTGGCAATATATTATAAGCTGTGTCCACCATTAGTATTGTAGAAATGACCAGTGTCAGTTACATTGAATGCAAGGATAAAAATTCTATGTAATATCCAAATGTTTTAACTATGTGACATCAAAAATTCAAATCTTTGTAAACAAATTCACTAATTATTTCAATGTTCACATGATTGGTTGACATTATAGAGATAACAGGTATTGAAGCAATATGATATAATAGATAGATGGTTAACCATGAAATCAGAAAGACATGAACTCAAGAATTATACTGTAAACTTCTACTTAATTAAGTTAATTTCTCTATGAATTTCATTTCATTAATTTTATAATTGTGTATTGCACAGAGATGGTATAAAGAATATGAGATATAAGGGTTTAAGAAATGAATTCAGTGATACTGAATAGTAATTATATATAACATTACAAAATGGAAAATCATGCAATCATTTCTATGCTTAGACATGAGTATTAAATTGGAAAGACATTGATAAACTAATTATCATATCTATTTTTTTTCTATTTTGCAGCACCTTCTCCAGTCACTAATGTGAAAAAAGGAAAGATTGCAAAAAATAGCATCTCTTTGTCTTGGCAAGAGCCAGATCGTCCCAACGGAATTATCCTGGAGTATGAAATCAAATATTTTGAAAAGGTGTGGTTAACCAAATATAAAATATCTTAAGTGTTTTTGTAGCAATTTATCCCATTTGTCTAAAAATGTTTTGTGATTTTGCATGTAAATTGATGCACATTGATTCTGCAGTACATGGTTAGAAAGACTTTTAATATGTTATATTCTATAAGAGAGGCTTACAGTTGGCAAGAAATTTAGACTTCATCTAGACTTCATCTGCCAAACCAATTCCAGAATTTACTTTATAATATCTTTGATAAATAGTCATTCAACTTCTTATTAAATACTTCCAGTGATAAGATACTCACTATCATATCCCATACACTGATTGACAGCTTTGTTAGACAGTGTTCCCTGTATTAAGTTGAAATATGCCTTCCTTTAAGTTTCTTTCATTGAACATTATCATGGCTCCTGGAACTGCCTGTTCCCTCTCCCACATAACATAATTCCAAATGTTTGAAAACAATAATCTATCTACACCCCTCAACCTCTGGGTCCTACAGTGGAATGTTGCACTCTAAAGAAGTCAGTTTATTAATGGCATCATATGTAAATGGAAGTCACTGTTTATAGTTGACAATGAGGTTGTAGAATAACAAAAAAAATCTGAGCAGCAGGAGGCATGATCCCTGCTGTGCCATTTCTGCCAAACATACACTTTAAGAGTATTTCCAGTTTTTTAGTTACTTTTAATAAGTTGAGGTCCTAGGAAAACTCCGAGAGGATTTAAAGTACAGCGCTTTCCTTATAATAATGGTGAACTGCCAAAAAAAAAAAAAAACAACAACAACAACAAAAAACAAAAACAAAAAAAAACAAGCATGTTGGGGAAAATAACTGTACACAGTTGAATAAGATGATTTAAAGAATTTATGATAATTTTCCTAAGAAGTTATCCATATACAAAATCAGGTGATTAAAAAAGTAAATGGACAAAGATATAGAATAAAACATGTGAAATAGCAAGAGTATGCAGAGAAATGGTGTTTGTCAGGTAAAGCTTTTTTTTTTTAAATTGGCATGACATATTTAATGATGTTCTGGATACTTGCTAAAAAAAATTGAAAGAATTCTTACCATGCAGTTTTGGAAATGATCAAGAGACAAGTTTAGTTAACAGAAGGGATTGGAGTATAATAAGAACAAGACTTTGGATAGGCAGTGGGTGTGGAGAGCAGTTTATGTTAAAAGACATGTAGTTATGGGTTTCACAAATTGAAGAAAACAACCTCCTTCAATTTTTGAGGATTTTTCCACTGTATTTTCTTCTTAGCACTTTTGATCTACCATCATTCCAAAAATATATCAATTTGTCAGTAACATCACTGATATTGTGAAGTAGAAAGTTAAAAATAAAATCTATTTAAAGTGAAAGGTTGATGGAGAATGGAGGGTGTATAAGTTCAATTAATATCAATTTGTATAATTTAAAAATTTGGGGTGCTGTGACTTAAGATAAATCCCAACTCTTCCATTAAGTACTTGAGTGAAGTAATGAAGATAATTTAGTCTTTCTGAGCCTCAGTTTCCCCATGTGGAAAAATAAGAGATTTGACTAGAATACCTATGAGGCCCCTTCCAATCTTGGTTCACATGATCCTATCAATTATATTCACTACCTAAAGTAAAAATATATCCTGCCTAATATTCATCTTAAACAGTATCATGCTCTTGATATTGAATTGCTATCATGCTGCATATATGTAAACATTTTTCAAAATTCAGAAAAAAACTAATTGTACATTAGATTATTGACCTGACTAAAAATGCTAATTTCTTGATCTTATCCCATAATTTACAATGCATATATTACCTGGACTTTATTTATTCCTGATTAATCCCTTCAACCTAAAAAAAAAAGATTCAAACCAAATTATTTTTTCATCAATATATTAAATAGAATTACACTACTGATATTCAGTACACAAAAATTATCTGATGAACAAGTTCCCCGAAGGTCTGTGCAGCATTGTGGTATATTGCACAATGTTAGTTTTATTTTTAATTTACTTTGAGTTCCTAAGAGTTTTGCCCCCTTTTTTTTTTCAAGAGGTTCATGCTGTTCTGTACTTTAGGTATTTCTAGGAATTTTGCCTAGCGTGGTTTTACAGCAAATAGATTTTAGTGATGTCAAAAGACTGCTACTCCCTCACCTATTTATTGGTACCTGATATAGGGTCTATTTTTGTGACAAAAATGGAATCCTGTTAAAGCTGTGCAATAACAAGGCACATACTTCTGCTCTCAAGTACTGCTGCTAAGGAGTAGAAAACCTGCAACATGAACAGACTCAGCACTTAAAATGGATGCTTTGGGGCATGTTAAAAAGTTTGCTGTCAGTTCAATTTCTGGAATTCTCTTACAGAATGACTAGCCTTCTATCAGGGGTGGAGGTGAGTAGGGAACATAACAGAGAGCTTCAAAGATAGGACAAATTCCTGATACTCTTTGGAGACCAAACATGTTTATTTTAGATAGGCTGCTGCCCTTCGAATTCTTACAATTGATATATAAGATGATCTTACGAGACAACTGAAAGTATGCTTTCTCTTAGTACCAACAATCATTCTTCAGAGATTTTAGTTTCTCACTCAGACTAAATAGTTTAATGAGGGCATTGAAACTTTATTCTGTCTATCTCAGTACTGTAAAATACTAGGTATCCTGATGAAGATGTTCATTGGCATCTATCGACAAACTACTTTAACATTTATAATAGTTGATAATATGCCTCTCGCTAATGAGATTGCATCATTATATATTATAAAAATTCTGTTCAACACATATGCAGATCCTATACACACACACACACACACACACACACACACACACACACGTTATCTGAATACAGGAAATTCGCAGTCCATAGTACTGAGGAAAGTTAAAAACAATGTTCTCCTTACATATTTCAGTTTGTGAAGTATAGAATCTGTAAGGCAAATCATCTTTCAGTAGTATGCCATTCATTAAAAGAAAGACCAGGAATGGTCATGGGAGGGCATATAGAATCACTGGGTCATAGGTTTAGGGCTGGAAGGAGCCTTAGAAACTGTTTAAAGCAATCCTTTCATTTCATGTATCATTGAGCACTACCTGATCTTGATTATTAAATTCAAGTCCTAGAGTTGGAAGACATTCAGAAGATCAATAGCAAGGTACTTCAAAAGGTTGAATCATTTACAACAGCATAGAAAATAGCCAGGAGCTCAAGTTGAAAGTCAGCTTATGTATTGGCTTACCAAAGTGCCTGGCATGTAGTAGGTACTTAATAAATATTGATTGATTGATATTGATATATTCATAATCAGTTAAGATACTGTGCACAATATTTTTTTTCTCAAAAGGTTCAATGACAAAATTTTAGGTCATACTGCTCTCTCATCATGAAATGGGCACCCAATAGACATGTTTTGTGTATATACAATTTAACTCCTTCACAAACTTCCTCCTCTCCAGAAGCTGATAGGAAGGAACTGGTTAACACTACTAGGATTCTGTAGCCAATGAATTTGTACAACAATGAGCTTAACAGATTATGCAGAAGCCAGAAGCTTATAAAGGAGAGTCAGTGTCATAGTATCTGTATTCAGACTTTTTAACGATTCACTCAAAAGGTAGATATTTATTGTTTACTCTAAGGGGAAAAGAAAATTTAAGTACTTGGGCAATGATTCAAATAGGATCTTCTGGAATTCATATTATCAGCTATTGCCTACAATAGTTATTCTGGGAGTAAAGTCTAATGATAATATATGGTTTTGGGGAAGGCTCCAAATGTTCATTCAATTACGTACTTTAGAAGTTCATATGTTCAGTGCTTGCCACCAATTAATGCCTTACTGTTTTATGCAAATGTCTTATGAAAAATTTAACATCATCCTAGTTTATCACCGCTGATAGTTGATGATGTTACTGTGGGTATGTCCACACATACACATGCAAATTGGTAATCAACATGTGTCATCCTCCCTTAAAATCCATTATTGTGGAATTTATTTTTTACAAGGAATTTCTTAGCACTTTGTGAAACCCCTCTTTTTCCTCAAGAGTTTAATTATAGTAATATATTTCACATATTAATTATATATATACATATAAATGGCATATATAATATACACATGTAGATCATCTCCTAATAATAGTTTCAGGAGAGCATGAATTCATGAAATGAATTCCTAGAATATATCATTATTTAAATATAGCAAATACTGAAATGAAAGAAGAAAACAATAAAATTTGAATTCCACTGTCGCCTTCTTAGGCCACTTTATCATTGCCATCAGATGATATTCATCTATCCTTAGATGAAATGTTTGCAATAAATATATCACAGTGCCTATTCAAAACATAAATGAAGGATTTCAAGTTTTTCTGAGACTTGTTGATTTCTTCCTTATTTTTCTTCTGCAAAAGACAGCCACTATCAAATCTATCAAATCATTTCATTGATTACTAGAAAAAGGATTGAAATTAAGTAAGATTTCAAAATGTTCCATAAAGAATCTTTTTTCCAAAATGTCAATGATGGGTTTCTAATACATAAATCGTTGATGAAGTTCTGCCTATAGAGATGATGGACCACTGATTGAGGTCCCCCTTAGAGATCCTTTCTAACCCTATGTCTATTTCAAGTATATCATTGTTTAGTCACAGAATTTCAGGTGGTCCATAATCAACAGTTGTTTATGGGTCAAATAATCCATGTTAATAGTGGTATTTTGAAGAAATTGACTATGAAACCTTCACTGTTATCCATTAATTCAATAAGTTCTATAACTCCTCCTCTTAATGGATTTTTACAGTTTGGATTTTAGATGGGTTAATGTTCCTAGTTTTGTCACTATTATGATCTTGAGGGTGAATCAATTACTTTTTATTCAATGTTTGTGACTAAATAGTTATCTATAATCCTGGATGAATAATGGCAAATACTGATTCTATGAGTTTATCATTACAAACATTTATCTAAAGAAAATTTGATGATAGAGGATATCTCTGACCCATCTATTCAAAAA